AAAATTCACCATCCCTTCAAGATAAAAAAACTCTCAACAAATTAGGTACAGGAGGAATGTAACATACCTTAATACAGTAAAGGTCATATATGTCAAGACCACAGTCAACATCATATTGAATGGGGAAAAGTTGAAAGCTTTCCCTTTAAGAAATAGAACAAGACCAGATGCCCATTTTCACCACTCTTATTTAACACAGTACTGCAAATTCTAGCTAGAGCAAATGGGCAAGAGAAAGGCAAAAGGGGCATCCAAATTGGAAGTAAAGAAGTCAAATTGTACCTGTTTGCAGAAAACATGACTTTATATATAGAAAAACCTGAAGATTTTACACACACAAAAAAATAGAATTGACCAAGAAATAAATTTAACTAAAGAAGTGAAAGATCTTTTCAAGGAAAACTATAAAACAGTGATGAAAGAAATTGAAGAGGACACACAAAAAATGGAAGAACATCCCATGTTTATGGATTGGAAGAAATAATATTATTAAAATGACAGTGCTACCCAAAGGGATTCACAGATTTAATGAAATATCTATAAAAATGCAACAGACATTCTTTACAGAAATAGAAAAACAATCTTAAAATTTGTATGGAACCACAAAAAAACCCCAAATAACCAAAGCAATCTCGAGGGGGAATAAAAAGAGCTGGAAGCATAACACTATTTTATTTTAAAATATACTACAAAGCTATAGTAACCAAAATAGCATAGTACTGGCATAAAAACAGACATATAGACCAATGGAACCAAATAGAGAACCCTCAAACACATTTATGCATTTATAGTCAATTGGTTTTCCACAAAGTCACCAAGAACATACATTGTGGAAAACACAGTCTCTTTAATAAATTATGCTGGGAAACTAGATATTCAAATTCTGAATACTGAAACTAGACCCCTACCTCTCACCACTTAAGAAAAATCACCCTCAAATGGATTAAAGACTTAAATTTTAGACCTGAAACTATGAAACTACTAAAAGAAAACATATGGGCACTGCTTGAGGACATGACTCTGAGCAACAAGTTTTTGAATCAGACCTCAAATGTAGAGGTAACAAAAGTAAAAATAGAAAAATGGGATTATGTCAAATTAAAAAGCTTTTGCACAGAAAAGGAAACAATCAGCAGAGGAAAGAGACAACCTACAGAATGGGACAAAATATTTGCAACTATTCATCTGACAAGGAATTAAAATATAAAAATACAAGAAACTCAATAGCAGAAAGAAAACTAATGATACTTCAATTAGAAAAAGTGGACAAAGACTCTAAATAGACATTTTTCAGAAGACAACATACAAATGACCAACAAGTGTATGAAAAAAATGCTCAACATCACTAATCATCAGGGAAATGTAAATCAAAACCACAATGTGATATCACCTCACCCCCGTTAGAATGGCTAACTAACTAACTAATAATAATAAAAAGATCCCCCCCCCCCCAAAAAAAAAAAAATAACTGAGCTGGTAAGGATGAGGAGAAAGGTGAATTCAAACATTCTTGGAGGGAATGTAAATTAGTGCAGCTACTATGAAAAACAGTATGAAGGTTCCTCAAAAAACTAAAAATAGAACTACTATATGATCCAGCAATCTCACTAGTGGGCATATAAGCAAAGGAAAGAAAATCAATATGTTGGAGAGATATCTACACTCCTATGTTTATTGCAACCCTATTTACAAATATATAATAGCCAATATTTGTAATCAACCTAAGTGTCCATCAACAGGTAAATAGATAAAGAAAATGTGGTATATACACAAAATGGAATAAAAAAAAGAAATCCTATCATTTGAGGTGACATGGATGAGGCTAAAGGACATTATGTTAAATGAAATAAGCCTGGCACAGAAAGACAAATACCATATATTCTTATTCATAGATGGAAGCTACTATGGTTGATCTCACAGAAGGAGAGACTAGAATAGTGGTTACTAGAGGCTGGGAAGGGTAGGGACAAAGGAAAGATAGAAAGAAGTTGGTTAATAGATACAAAATTAATTACGCTAGNATAAATAAATATAAAAAGAACTAACACAAATTATTCTCAAACTATTCCAAAAGATTGAAGGAAAGGAAATTCTTTTAAACTCAGTCAATAATCCAGAATTACACTGATAGCAAAACCAGACAAGGGTATAACATCAACAACAACAACAAAAAACTACAAGCTGATATTCCTGATAAGTGTATGTGGAAAAATCCTCAACAAAATAGAGCAAACAGAACCTAACTGCACATAAAAAGAGATTATACACCATGATCAAGTGAGTTTCTTCCCAGGGATGCAAAGATGGTTCAACATATACAAATCAATAAATGCCATACATATTGTCAACAGAATAAAGGACAAAAACCATATGATCATCTCAGTAGACTCAGAAAATGTAATTAATGAAATTCACCATCCCTTCAAGATAAAAAAACTCTCAACAAATTAGGTACAGGAGGAATGTAACATACCTTAATACAGTAAAGGTCATATATGTCAAGACCACAGTCAACATCATACTGAATGGGGAAAAGTTGAAAGCTTTCCCTTTAAGAACTAGAACAAGACCAGGATGCCCATTTTCACCACTCTTATTTAACGCAGTACTGCAAATTCTAGCTAGAGCAAATGGGCAAGAGAAAGGCAAAAGGGGCATCCAAATTGGAAGTAAAGAAGTCAAATTGTACCTGTTTGCAGAAAACATGACTTTATATATAGAAAAACCTGAAGATTTTACACACACAAAAAAATAGAATTGACCAAGAAATAAATTTAACTAAAGAAGTCCCTGAAGATTTTACACACAAAAAAAATAGATTTGACCAAGAAATAAATTTAACCAAAGAAGTGAAAGATCTCTTCAAGGAAAACTATAAAACAGTGATGAAAGAAATTGAAGAGGACACACAAAAAAATGAAAGAACATCCCATGTTTATGGATTGGAAGAAATAATATTATTAAAATGACTGTGCTACCCAACGGAATTCACAGATTTAATGAAATATCTATAAAAATGCAACAGACATTCTTTACAGAAATAGAAAAACAGGGCCGGCCCGGTGGCGCACTGGATAAGTCCGCCGCTTGGGAAGCGCAGCAGCACTCCCGCCGAGGGTTCGGATCCCACCTATAGACCGGTTCCCGCTCACTGGCTGAGTGAGGCACGGGAGCAACACCGAGGGTTGCAATCCTGTTGTCGGTCCCCGGTCCAGTACGGGGGCAACACCGAGGGTTGCGATCCGTTGCCGGACACGGAAAAAGACAAAAAAAAGAAAGAAATAGAAAAACAATCTTAAAAATTTGTATGGAACCACAAAAAATCCCCAAATAACCAAAGCAATCTTGGGTGGGGGGAAGCTGGATGCATAACACTATTTTATTTTAAAATATACTACAAAGCTATAGTAACCAAAATAGCATAGTACTGGCATAAAAACAGACATATAGATCAATGGAACCAAATAGAGAACCCTCAAACACATTTATGCATTTATAGTCAATTGGTTTTCCACAAAGGCACCAAGAACATACATTGTGGAAAACACAGTCTCTTTAATAAATTATGCTGGGAAACTAGATATTCAAATACTGAATAATGCAACTAGACCCTTATCTCTCACCACTTAAGAAAAATCACCCTCAAATGCATTAAAAACTTAAATTTTAGACCTGAAACTATGAAATTACTAAAAGAAAACATATGGGCAATGCTTCAGGACATGACTCTGAGCAAAAATTTTTTGAATCAGACCTCAAATGTAGAGGTAACAAAAGTAAAAATAGAAAAATGGGATTATGTCAAATTAAAAAGCTTTTGCACAGAAAAGGAAACAATCAGCAGAGGAAAGAGACAACCTACAGAATGGGACAAAATATTTGCAACTATTCATCTGACAAGGAATTAAAATATAAAAATACAAGAAACTCAATAGCAAAAAGAAAACTAATGATACTTCAATTAGAAAAAGTGGACAAAGACTCTAAATAGACATTTTTCAGAAGACAACATACAAATGGCCAACAAGTGTATGAAAAAAATGCTCAACATCACTAATCATCAGGGAAATATAAATCAAAACCACAATGTGATATCACCTCACCCCCGTTAGAATGGCTAACTAACTAACTAAATAATAATAATAATAAAAAGATCCCCCCCCCAAAAAAAATAACTGAGCTGGTAAGGATGAGGAGAAAGGTGAATTCAAACATTCTTGGAGGGAATGTAAATTAGTGCAGCTAATATGAAAAACAGTATGAAGATTCCTCAAAAAACTAAAAATAGAACTACTATATGATCCAGCAATCTCACTAGTGGGCATATAAGCAAAGGGAAGAAAATCAATATGTTGGAGAGATATCCACACTCCTATGTTTATTGCAATTCTATTTACAAATTCCAAAAGATTGAAATTGAAAGATTACATATATATACAATATATGTAATCAACCTAAGTGTCCATCAACAGGTAAATGGATAAAGAAAATGTGGTATATACACACAATGGAATACTATTCAGTCATAAAAAAAGAAATCCTATCATTTGAGGTGACATGGATGAGGCTAAAGGACATTATGTTAAGTGAAATAAGCCTGGCACAGAAAGACAAATACTATGTATTCTTATTCATTGATGGAAGCTACTATGGTTGATCTCACAGAAGCAGAGACTAGAATAGTGGTTACTAGAGGCTGGGAAAGGTAGGGACAAAGGAAAGATAGAAAGAAGTTGGTTAATAGATACAAAATTAATTACGCTAGNTCAAAAAATTTCTCAAAACTAATGAAAATAAAGACACATCATACCAACACTTGTGGGATGCCGCAAAAGCAGTACAAACAGGGAATTTTATTACAATAAACAATTACATCAAAGAATAGAAAGATTTTTTACAGAAAATGAAATTCTTTATGATGGATTATGTGCAGTAGGATTCAATAGGAGAGTCTCTAACCTGGTGGAGCTGGGAGGAATTAAAGGATGAGTTTCACCAGAATTCAAGGATGGCAAAGGAAACAGTGTCTCCATGGGCACATACAACCTAGTTCCACCAAACTAGGCCTGGAGAGAAAAAATTCTATCTCTGAACCTGAAGAAAGTCCCAAGACACTCTTCTCCCAGGAGGCCAAAAAGATGAGGCATGATCCTTATCAAACTAGTACTGGGCATTGACACATGAAGAAGTAAAGCAGAACCAAAAAGAATGAATAGAGTCCTTACCTAGAGAAAGCAAATTCTCATAATTCTCCAGCATCACATTCCTATAGAGGTCCCTCTGAGCAGGGATCAAACACATCCACTCCTTCTGGGTAAAATACACAGCTATGTCTTCAAACATCACCAGCTCCTGAAACAACAAATAGTTTCCGTCCCGGGAATAATACAATAATGACTTCAATAAAATAAACAAGGAGACCTTGCTAGAGTAAAGTGCTATCACCCTCATTAAGATTATGGAAAGAATGGAGGGGAACAACAGAGAAAACATTAAGGGGGTCAGGGTATAACCATCAAATAAACCCCATTTAGTGAGGATTAAACATCTAAATTTTTTAAATGATAGTCAAAGACCACCTTGATTGAGGGTGGAAATTACAACTGGCTTTATTCAGAGAAAATAATCACTCCCAGGAAGAAGAGAGGACAACAGAGCTCACCTGGGGATAGTTTATCAATGGTACCTCTTCCTGTGTCCTGTCTCCTTGACAATTCACACAATCCAAGGCAGATGCAGGGGAAGCAGATGCTGAGAGAGGAGAAAGTAATCAATGCAGTCAATGAAGGCCAATTCTTCAATAAGACCACCCTCTTCTGCTAATGATTCTTCCCCTGAATCTATGAACCCTATCCAAATGTGTTCTAAAAACAGAAACTAGAACTCCACTGCCATGTTGAACCTGCTCTCAACTCAATTAGCTTCTCTGGTAGCTCTCACCTCATTTTTCATCATCTATTCAATCTGTGTTAACAAACTAAAATGATCTCTAACCTTCATATATATGCTTAGGGCTTTCCCACTAAAGTTCTGTTCAGTCTCACACAGATGCTCTACTGGAGCAGCCCTTAAGCAAACAGCTCACTGGCCAGGCCATTACTTTTGCTTTGTAACATACCGCTGCTGAGAACTGCAGAACTCTCAGCACTAATGACTCCAACCAAACCCCTGCACTAAAAGACTTGACCAAACTCTATCATGGCTTCTAGCAGCGTAAGGCTGTCTCCCTAGGATGACCCCGTCCCGCTTCTCTCCCCCCACCCCCCAATTAAAATGCCAACCTGAGAAAGTTTACCACTGCCAGTAAATTTTACTATTTGTTCTGGCCAACACCAGTGATAAGCCCCGACCTCCCTTTCTTAGAATATTTACAAAAAGGGGTTACAATTGTAAATATGGATCTCTTGCAACTCAGAAGTATCTCAAAAGGACCTGAGAGCCATTACTTTGAAATGCAATCAAGAAGGATAAGACTTCTGTCTCCCAATCTCCGTGGGAGGACAAGATTCTAACTTTGGGAGTTGCCAGCTAACAAACACAGCTGACCTCAACTTATTTAGGCTGACCAACTCTGTACTTTTTCACTTCTCTCACTCAATGTAGCCTGGGTATTCCCCCCTCCCCAAATCGGAATGGAACTCAGCTCTTTCCCCTACTGTCAGTAGTTACTGAATAAAACCTATTTTCACCACTTTAATGTTTGGCTGTGTTTACCTTTGACACCATCCATCACAAAAGTTCAAAGACTTCTCAAGTCAAACTTCTGGAATCAACTGCATCCTAGTATTCAGCAATTTCCCCCCTTTATTTTTTTAATCAGACTTTCTCCCCTCTATATCTATTATGGCATACCTTTTCTACTACAACCTGAAGAGATACCAAGGTGCAAACTACATACAAGTAGTATGTAATGGATACAGTCATTTGCTACACAAAAAGCCTCACAAAAATTTAAAACATATTTAATAGGTCCTGTAGTGCTCTTTTATCTACCCATAATCCTGCAGTTGACTGGGCCAATTGTCGAGCTAGGGCTGGGTCTGGAGCTCACAGACCCCTCAAGCCCGTGTTCCAGACTGGGTCACAAACCCTTCACATGCCAGGTTGGGTCACCAGACCCCTCACACGCCCGTCTATGAGCTAGGTAATCGGCAAACAGGTCCTTGGAAGCCGTGGGTTGGAGAGCATGGCCGTGTGGGCTGATGCCCCAGGCCGATGGCCCAGGCAAAACTGCGGGCCGCCCATGCACACTAACTCCTCCCACACACAACTTGCGTACAAAGAATGCTGCACCACCCCCAACCTGACCTAAGGAGAGGGGACCTGATTAAACTATTCTATTTTCTCAACAGGTCCCTTGCAGAATTTTCTTTTTTTCATTCCTTCGATATGGCTAGCTCATTGTGAACCTTTAGGGTCACTCACTGGCCTTTGTGCTACTTCACTGTTAACCTGCCTTCATCCACAATAAATCCATTCTCCTTTCACATTGCCTGGTACTTAGAAAGAAAACCCGTTCAAACCCTAAAGTTACCCCATACTTTCATTTCCAAATTCACATCTTCACAGATCCTGAACTCTGCTTTATCAGCTAATCCAGAAACCCTCTAATAGCCTCTCTTCAAGTCTGAATAGCAGTATTCTCTGACCCCACTCCCACAGCACAGTGTACATGTTTCTGTCACAGTGGATTGTTATCACAGATTTGTTTCCCCAACAAGACTAAAGTGCCCTGAGCCAAATGTTCTTCAACTTTGTAATTCTATTGCCCAGCATAATTCTCTGGCACTTAAAATATGCTCTATAAATGAGTGTATGAATTATGTGAATAAATGAGTGGAGAAATAAATAAATGAATAGATGAATTGTTTAGCTTCATGTATACAAGGGGCTGACAAGGAAAACAGGACTTATTTAACTGAAAGCTGGCCTCTCCTCTCCTAGCTATATCGGTCCTATATTAGTTCTAGATATTACTCCCAGACAGGACCAACGGCCCACCTGCAGCTCCCAGATGAGGGCCCACAGTGCCTCCTCAAACCCACCAGCAGTTTAGAGCTTTTGAGTTTCATCAAACAGCTTTGCTGGCCTTTGGCAATACATATACTCTTACCAAACATGTTACTATTTTATCTTTAAAAACCATTTGGCTTAGATCATTTATTTAATATTCTATAAAACAGAAAATGGAATATCCCAGCTATTCCTTTGTCTAATTCTCTGACAGAACTCTCCAAATAAGAAATCCTATATTATCTGAACGCTGGGGCCAAACAGCCTCTTACCAGCTGATGAAACTAATCTCTTGTTTCTCAGATAATGTACGTTACATCCAGATCTCCCCTCAATTGATAACTTGATTCCTCAGGATGATCCTTACCCTATTCATTCTCACACTTTCTAGCCACAAACTATAATCAGTCTGTTTATCTCTCTCCCTTCATCATCTGAACTGGAACAGGATGCCAAATCTTCTACCATTGTAAGGAACTGGACTGCTACAATTACATCCCTAGCCACACTCTCTGAATGAGGACTTTCTATAATAAACTATTTAAGGTGAAATCAGTAACTACAATAGGAAAAAGATGCATGTCTTTTTACCATGAAGATATTTCATATGGTATTTGCCAAAAACTAAATAGGCCGTTAAGGAAATACAGCAAAATACAGAAGCAAATGCAAATATCCTGACCATTGAACCTTCACTGTAACTTTACCGTTATTTTGACAGACACCTTAAAGATTTTCTGATGATCCTATCTAAACCTGCACATCTACCACTCTATCTTCTCTGAAACTCATTACTATTAATCCTGTTTTATTTCTATACACACATACATACACATTTATTTTTTAGCATTCATAACATAAGCTCCCTGAGGACAGGAACTTTATTTTATACACTGTTGTGTTTCCAGCACTAGAACACATACTACTTACTATGTACCTGGCACATAGTAGGTGCTCAATATAAAAATTTAAATAAATAGTTTGTATTCAAGATACCTCTCTTTCTGGAAAATTCCTCATGGCCAAAGTTTCAGATCCTTTTCTAATCCAAGATAAAGATTTTCATTAGAAACAAAGATCTCAGATTCTGAGTTGCCTGCTCTACCCTCAGTATTCATGTTCCTGAGTACAATCACATATATAACCATAATTATAGTGACTATCGTGAAAATAAAGGCAAAATGGTATGGGACTCACACCATTAGTGATTAACTTTCTGCAGTCTAGAGACTCTACTTGCTATGTGTTGGTCAAGAAGGAATCCTCTAAATCGGGAGCTCTTAACCTGGAAGTCCACTGGATAGGCTACAAGGAGCATATGAATCTCTCTAAATGATGTGCAAAATTGTGTGTACATGCCTATATGCATTTTTTCTAAGGAAAAGGTCATTATCTTTCATCACCTTCTTAGACGTTAATTTTTTCACACAAATTATTCTGTCAAGATGAAATCTTTGCCATATGGGGGTGAGAGATAAAAGTGACTTGAACTAGGATGGAGCACAGTTCAGAATTATTTAAAAGGTAAAATTAATAGGCTTTGGAAATTGATTGTACAAGGCAGGTAAGAAAGATGGAGAGGTCATGTATGATCCTAAACCAGTGCTTCTCACCCAGAGCAACCCAACATCTTATAGAAGTCCAGGGCTTCTACAATCACTGTAGTTGGTACGTGACTCAGAGCAGAAATGTGCTAAAAATAAAAAGTCAGATATGCAGATTGTGATCCCTTTAAGTGCAGCAAAATACAGAAGCAAATGCAAATAACCTGACCATTGAACCTTCACTGTAGCTTTACTGTTATTTTGACAGACACCTTAAAGACTTTCTGATGATCCTATCTAAACCTGCACATCTACCACTCTATCTATGAAGAGTACCAGTTTTAGAAACAAGAAGTGCCACAAGAAGGCTGAGATCACCTAGGCGACACTCACTCCTCCAGCCTGGTAGCCTCCCCATGGCCTCCACTACACCTCAGCCTAATTTATCTTGAACAAGAGAAACCATGGCATTCTTGACTCTTCCCTCAAATATCTATGCTAGCATAGATTCCTTCCTTCTCAATAAACTATAAGCTAATCTTTAGAACTAAAGTCTTGCAATAACAGCCAAGCTATTTAGGCATAACTGTTCTATTCATCATCACTATGTTCTGTTTTATGTCACTTTATAAAAGTAAAGAGCAAGGCCGGCCCGTGGCTCACTCGGTAGAGTGCGGTGCTGATAACACCAAGGCCATGGGTTCGGATCCTATATAGGGATGGCCGGTTTGCTCACTGGCTGAGCCTGGTGCTGACAACACCAAGCCAAGGGTTGATTGAGATCCCCTTACCGGTCATCTTTTTAAAAAAATAAATAAATAAATAAATAAATAAATAAATAAAAGTAAAGAGCAGAAAGATTTTGCAAGCATTTTCCAATCCAAATACCTCATAGGCTTCTATATAGCTAATTCCTTGGTTAAAAGTAGAGTAGGCAGGACCTCCATAGCAAACATTAGTATAGTAACAAATCCACACACACTGACCTGAGGTAGTTCAAAGCTGATTTTTTTCAAGATAGCCAGAAAAGAGGATCAAATGATAAATGTTTAGGCGATAGATATGTTAACTATTTTGATTAGATCATTATACAGTACATACATTTACTGAAAGAACAAACTCTACCCCATAAACATGTACAATGAAAAAAAATAATAATCCTTTTTTAATTTTAGAAAAAAAGAAAGAAAGAAAGAAAAGGCGTTAATAAACTACCACTCACTGTCCCAATCTAGCCAACCCCATGGTTTTGTATATGAAGTTTATAAGACACAACCACACCCATTCATTTACATGCTGTCTAAGAACACTTTCACACTTCAATAGCAGAGCTCAGTAGTCACGACAGAGGAACTCATGACGTGCAAAGCCTAAAATATTTACCATTTGACTGTTTACAGAAAAAGTTTGCCAACTCCTGAGTTATATCAAAAGGCTTCAGGCAACACACACACGCTTGATGTTTTTGTGAATAAGAAGTAGTCAATGTGAAGGAAGACTAAAGAGGACAAAGAATAGAGGGAAAACATTACAGCATGACTTAAAGGAAACCAGAGGAAAGTATTATTTTAAAAAACAAAGAGTTGTTACCAGCCTCAGATGCTGTACAGAAAGCTCTCAGAGTCAGCTATAAGCAGTATTCAATGAATTTAGCAACATCCTGATTATCACTATCACAAAGAGAGCAGTTGTAATGGGATGGTGAAGAAGGTATCTATAAATTAATTGGCTCTATTGTTTCAATAGGGTGGTCATTCATTAAGACGTATATGACTGCTATTGCATTTCAAATAAATGAAGAAAGAGAGATTATATAAAAACTTCTGCATTCAAGCTTAAAATTTTCCAAAGTTTACTATGTGGTAAAAATAATATGTGTATTATACATGTACATATGTGTAGGTGGATTTATTGTATAATTGAATCTTAGATGTTCAGTTTTTTTCCCCACAGGGTGTCATATCTACTTAATTGCCTGATTAATCTGCTCAATATTCTAGCATTATTGAGAGCATATGAAAACTCTATGTTGTTGTGTGTGGGCAGTGGAGGGGGAGAAAGAGTGGAAGAGAGAGCAAAAGAGAGAGGAGTTTCTGTGTAAAGATTTGTGTGTTTATATCTTTAATATTGGTCTCCTCTGCTCCTACTAACAGAGAACGTGTACAAGTATTCTTCAAAACACACTTCCGTTTTATTGGCTTATTCTGAAACATACAAGGTAATAGACTTTGGATGTATTGTCCTCCCAAAACTCATGTGGAAATGTGATCCCCAATGCAGCAGTGTTGGGAGCTTTTTGAGTGTTTGAGTCATGGAGGTAACTCCTTCATGAATGAATTAATGCTTTCCCTGGGGTGTGGGGGTAGTGAATGAGTTCTGGCTTTATTAGTTCCCATGATAGCTGATTGTTTAAAAAGACCCTGGCATGCACCCCCACCCTTCCTCTTGTCATGTGATCTGCTTGCACCTGCTGGCTGCCTGCCACTTTCTGTCATGAGTAGAGGCAGCCTGAGGCCTGCACCAAATGCAGCTGTGTTAGAATTTTGAGCCAAATAAACCTCTTTTCTTTATAAATTACCCAGTCTCAGGTATTCTGTCATAGTAACAAAATGTACTAATACACAAGGGGTCTTCACAAAGTTCATGGAAAATGCATATATGAAAAAAAACTGTGTATGGAATTCAAATTTGTTTTGCACCAAAATAAACTGGTATTAATTTGATAAAAAATTGNGTATTCCCATTTAAGTTACATCTTTCCTCTTACTCAAGGAAAAACATTTAACTTTTCCTAATCTTTCTGCACTTTTCCCAAACAATACATATAACATTATCAGGTGATTCACCAACTGGGAGTTATTTCCCAAACTCAACTATAAATTGGTAAGAAAAAGGCCTAAGACAGTGGTGAATAGCTCACCCTCTGCAAATTCCAAACCCAGTCTATACAATCAGTAGAAAGAGCAGACCTTTGAAAGCTGAGAAACAGGAGTTCAGGTCTTGGCTCTGCCTACAGAACTATACAAACTAATTAAACTGGCCTCACCTCTCTGAGTCTTGGTTTCTTAATCGGACAAAAGGGGTGTTATGAGGATACACCAGGATCATATAAGTTGTTCCTGGCATGTAGCCCTATACCTCTCCTCAAACTTATCTCTGTTCTTTCCCTACTTCCCCACCAATGGCAGCCCCTAGTAGGAGTGGGACAACTCCTTTCCCTCTTCACCCTGAGGCCTAGTTTTTTCTCTATTACTGCCCAGAGCCAGGGATCTAAGTAGGAGATCCCTACCTAAACTAATCTAACAAGCCAAGTAAGGGACAGCCATTCCCAGGCCTTCTATGGACAGAAGAACTATAAGGATGAAGATGGCCTGGGGAAGACAGCTCCTATTAACTGTGGGTGGGAATCAGTTTACAGGCCCACTGACAGTCTTCCCAACGGTTCATGAGTAGATCCAGACTTTGGATGCAAGTAAGTTCTTAATATTTAGAGATTTGACCCAGGAAGTTTCACAAGTACTGCCCCAAGCTGTAGCCTGAGAGACTGGTCTCCTCGTCTCCTTCTTGACGGATCACGCTGCCCAGAGAGAGCTTTCTGGGGGAAAGGAGGATAAGTACAGAGCTATGAAGCTTGGAACAGCTGGGAACAGGAAGTTCAATCTCCATGGCAACTTTTAAGAATGGGCTGTGGATCACTCCAGGATGGGAGTAATTGGAAAATATTTTCTATAAAGTGACAGTTAGTAAATATTTATAGTCTGAAGGCCATACAGTCTCTGTCACTACTACTCAATTCTGCTGTCATAGCACAAAAGCAATATATAAACAAATGAATATGGCTGTGCTCCAATAAAATTTATGGACACTGAAATTAGAAATTTCATAATTTTTAAATGTAATAAAATATTATAATTCTTTTGTGTTTTTTTCAACCATTTAAAAATGTAAAAGCCCTTCTTAGTTCAGGGGCCATTCAAAAACAAGTGATGGGTCCCATTTTGCCTGCAGGCTGGAGCTTGCTGACCCCTGCCTCAGGAGATAAGGTAGCCAGTCTCCTGAGCCACAGTGGGGTGGAACTGCTTCAGGAACAGCTAAGGAGTGGCTTTCAGTCACTTAGAGGACAGCCCAATGTTCGCTTAGGTCTATTTAAAAAATACTCAGGTGTATAACATCTAAAAACTAGTTCTTTGGTACCATGCCCTAGCTCATTTTCTACTGAACTGCCCCCCATAAACAGGATGACTGCTAGCTCCCCACCTCTCTTTTGCAGGACCCAAGAAAAGGGAATGACATTTTCAGGCTGGATGACTGTGGGCCACTGTTGGGTAACTGGTGAATCCAAGGTTGATGCTAAAATCTTCTCACGTGCCAAGCTCTGCCCTTCCTGGGCACTGGATAGAGCCTAGATGTGAGAATGTCATCAAAAGGGAAGAAATGTTCAGATGTTAGACTTAAAATCCCAGGAAAGGCATGAAGAGCAGTCTGATTGGACTGCAGAGATAGGGACAATCCAATTTTCACTCCATTTTAAAAGACAGAGATGGCATATAGACTTCCCTACAAAAGCATGCAACTATAAAGACTATCAATACAATACAGTCAGTAACAAAGAGGTTAAGGAAGAATCTCAGTTCAGGAGCTTTGCCCCCACTTCCCTTAGCTATTAAGAAATTCACATTTTTCACTGTTTTTCTCCCCTGGCCAGTAGAGACACTTCCTCCTTTTACCTGTTCTCCATCCAGATCTCGCTCTCCATCTCTCCTCACTTCTATGACCTCTCTGCTAGGAGAGTCATGTACCCACATCCAGTCCTGTCTCTCTCCAGGTAGGACGTCCAGGGCCTGCCTCTCAAGGGGACAGGACTCCTCAAGTGAGCCACACCCCTGCGAACACTGATCAAAGATAAGTGCCTTCTCCAGAGTTGCTGACATTTTGAGCCAAGGGGCAGGAAATGCTCTGCATTTTGCATCCATCGATAGTATTTCTTTAGATTCGAGGAAAGTTCAGAGGCCCCACTCTGCATTTCACATTATTAGCCTGCAAGAAAAGGTCGGAGAAAGGAAAGAGAAAGAGAGAGAAGGATCCAAGAATGGGAGCAGTTCCACATCGATAATTAAAAATCACTAAAGAATCGCGTAGCCTAAAGGGAAAAGAAATTAGCAGAGAAGAAGAAAGTTAAAGCTCTGATCAAAATTTAAGGATTAGTGGAGGCGGTCTAGTGTTCTGTTCAAGAAAACAGATGCAGGCACCAAAATGCTTGGGTTCCTATCTTCAACTTACCAGCTGTGACACCGTGGGCAAGTTTATCTTCTCTAGGTCTCAGGTTGCCCATCTAAAAATTGGGATAATGATAGTACTAACCCATTGGATTGAGGATTAAATGAGTTAATACACACAAAGCACTTACAAACAGACCTGACCCAGAATAAGCACGCTATATTCAAGTGTTTCCCAAATAAAATTTATAATGTTTATTATTAAAGGACGGCTTAAAGCAGAGGAGCAAGAGGAGGAGAGAAAAACAGACGAGAAGAGGAAAAGAAAAACATGCCTTGGCAGGTGGGACCCCCTCCTACACCCCACCCCGCCGCAGGC